GTGCTGGAGTTAAGAATTCCATCTTCACAAGAGTGAGACAAATGCTGGCAGTGTTTCCAGTTGTAGAAGACTGGTCCTATCAGGAGAATGTATGGGAGGATGAATTGAGCAACTACATACAACTGAGTGGTGAGCAGTACCAGTTGAAGGATCATGTACAGGCATCTGTGCAGACAGTTTCTCTACACAGTTTGGAGAAGAAATTTGATGAAGACCAGCACAAGCCACTGAAGGTCACTCAAGATATTGGTGCACAAACAGGAACATCTCTCCTTGATTTGAAGTTAAAACAGAAGAAGTCTGGCTATGTGTATGGACGTAATTTGACAAAGACATCCTCCACTGCATCAGTCAACCACCTCAGGGAGGCCATCCAAGTTAACCTGGCACTTGTACAGAGGAGGCAAGATGCAGCATTAGGGAAATTGAGGGCAAATATGACCAGTGACCCAGCCTCAGAACTTACAGCTTCAGATGAAAAAATTACCCTCACTGAAGCCTCTGAACCCAGCCCCTATCTGTCCTTGGGTGAACTTGTTGCCAAAATCATAGCTGATGATGTAAATGCTGGGTCTAATGTGAACAAGTGCCAAGCAGACTTTCCAGAAGAGATCACAGAGGCTACTTTGAAGGATTTCACCCTAGGAACAACACATGGCCTACTTGCATCATTTTATGATGTATGTGATGTTGCAACTGAGGCCAGTCAGAAAGCGATGCAAGACTTCTCAAAGAAACTGGTTGACACCCTTGTGCAGCTGATTTCTGCTGAGATGAATGGTGACATGCAAGGCACTGCAAAGAGACATTCAGTCAAAGTAAGGAAACTTGATGTATATACTTCCTGTATGCTAGAAACCAAAAGCATCAACATAACTTTGATGTTTTACTTTTTTCACTTGTATTTGTAGTATTCAAACCCATTTGTAATTTTTATTTTCAGGTTATTTTTTATTGATTTTCCTTTTTTTTACAATTTATATAATTTAATTTCATATTTCATGCAGGTTATTTATGTAATATTTGATTTTGTACATTAAACTTTATTCCCAGGATCTTGAAAAAGATGATCACCAACCTACGCAATGCATGGATAGAGAGGTCCAATTTCCACATACACTTGTAGGCCAGGTTAACAACTTGATGAAGCAAGAAATGCAAGATATTAGGAAAGACAAGGCACACTTTATCAAAGAGGTACATAGTAAATGGGATGGTGCGTTGCATGATCAGTATTGTTAAACTTCATTAACTTGGCCAACTACTAGGTAAGTGTAGTTAATTATAATATGGCAGTTACTGTATTTGGAATATATTTTTCATGTTTTTTTTTTTTTTAAAGATCATGAAAACTTTTTTATGTTTTCGAAATTAAGTAAAAATTATAAACTTATATAACACATTGCAGGTTTTTAACTACCACTATGTGGATAGCTTGATTTCCAATGCCATCATTAGAGCACAGTTTGCTGTGTTCCACTGTGCTGAATCAAAGTCACAAGACCTGGACTGGCCAGATAAGGAGCATGTCATTGCCAAAGCTGCTGACCTCCTGAAAGAGGATGTTTTGACGTTTTATGATGAAAAGTAAGGTGTATTTTGTCATTGGAGATTTCATATTTTGTTACAAAATTAGATTTAATTTGATGTTCTGCTACTGTTTAATATATATATATATATTTTTAATTTGCAAAGTTTTAAAATTTTCCTTTGTAGCTTTGCCAAATGTCAGTCATTTGAAAGAAAAATTGAGAATTTAACAAATGTAAGAAGAAGCTGCACAAAATTTCAGATGCTTTAGAGGTATTTTGTGTGTAGACCACTTAACTTGAAATACTATGTGTAATGGAAAATAATCACTTATTAACAAAATCTTTACAGGTGGGATGAATGCTCTGACAGTGTTCAGTTAGGGTTGCTCTCTCAGAATGCAGAGGGGGATGTATTCCTTGATGAGCAAGATTTGAAAGTAGCCATTGTTAATGATGCCAAGATGGTGGCAAAATCTGTGGCGACCTCAGTGTTAAAGGTAACAGAATTGGCTCTATTTGATGGTTTTCTTAAAACATTTGAAGGTAATCCTGTACTGAGTACTAGCTGTTCTATATATATATATATATATATATATATATATATATATATATATATATATATATATATATATTAAGTTTGACATTATATTAAAAATGTCAGTCGTTTGATTTAAAAACATTTATTGCAGATTTTTTTAAACTGCCAATTTCACTGAAATTTTTTCAGTTGTTTATAATAGGGCTGACCAGTTGTAATTTTTATTTCCATTTTTAGCAAGCAGCACTGTGTTCAGATATTAATTGTGAGTCAGACTCTTCTGTTCTCTCTACTGATATAGTGCAGTTTAAGGAAGGTAATGTATGCTCAGAAACAGTATAAAATTCAGAAATTAAAGTCAGTTTTAAATATAAATCATATTATTTTAAAATAAGCCCTTGCTATTTCAGCAACATAAATTATTTGATTTTGCTTCAGATATTTAAATCAAAGGTATAATCATTTCAAAAGTAAGAAGTGTTTTGACCAAAGTGTTTTTCACTCCTGAATCTTTCCCACAAAAAAAAAAAAAAAAAAATCCCATTTTATATTTGTAATATTTCAGAATTCAAAGACCTGAGGAATCTAGTGTGTGATTTGTCATTAGAGAGACGTGCAAGATCCACAGAAAGTTGGCCACCAAGGAGGAGTCTGAGTTTGGATTCAATGAAAAACCCTCCTGGATCTAGTGAGGCCACTTTGTGGAATTTTACAAGCACATCTACTCTCCGTTTCAAGAGTTTTGAGGATCTGGGAGTGCTGAAAAGTATACATATGCCATTGTCCCTTTTTAGTTTCTTACATATTAATACAAACACATACACTTGTATACATGCCCACAAACATAATGAACATAGTGCTTCACATAATTATAGTTGATCATACCAACATCTAATCAAATGCTTATTCAATAGATTTTGCTTGTAAACACACATCACATACTCATTCAAATATGAAAACCCAGGATGTCAACTTATTACCTGTTTAGACCATATAAACCTATTTCCATGTTGTTTTGTTTCCCAGGGCAACCCACATGGGGAGAGCTGAGAGCAGATATCTCAAGCAGCCTGAGATTTGAAGATGACTTTGTTACAGCTGGGACAGGTAAAGTGATAGATACAATACCAGTCACCGTGCTGTATGTGAAATATTATGAGTGTATTGTCGAGCCGCAGGCAAGTAGTTTTCACATACAGCTTGGTGATGAGTGTTGTATCTGGCTAAAACTAAGGCTCTGATAGGCTACTAGTGAGTAACATGAGTGCAACAGACCGTGGAACGCACTCATACGTGACTTGCTTGTACCTGGTATGTCGAAAACAGCACAGCCGAGTCTTTTGTTCTATGCGCTAGCCATGGTTTAAATTTAGGATAACCACTTTCCAAGTTTTCTCTTTGTGACGGCTGATAATAATCACAGTGCAGTATTTAATATATTATTATTATTATTATTATTATTATTATTATTGTTATTTCCTGTTTAGACCATGAACCTATTTCTGTGTTGTTTTCTTTCCCAGGGCAACCCACATGGGGAGAGCTGAGATCAGATATCTCAAGCAGCCTGAGATTTGAAGATGACTTTGTTACAGCTGGGACAGGTAAATTTGGGATAGCCATTTCTCTCTTTGTGATAGCTGACATTAATCACAGTGTAGTATTTTCTATTTGTATAATCACTACTGACCGTATATTTATCTGGAATTCAGTATTTGCTAAAAATGGTGAAAATCACTTAGCATTGTAAATTTGTCATTTTGCCTGACATTACAGAAAGTAAACAAATTTTATTTCTTTAATTCCATATTTTATTGACCTGAAAGTAATTCCCATTATGGATATTATCAACAATAGCAATGTATGGTGATCAGGTGATTGTCGCAGTTATATTAATGAATGTGTATATTTTGTTCTAGTTGACATCAATGACAATAGTCAAGTTGTCCAAGTAAACAACACAGCTGAACTAAGCCCAGAGGTGCAGGATGATGAATGTGACATTGAAACCTCAGGACCCAGTGCTATGAATATGACAATATCATCTCCTGCAACTGTGTACTTGGTGAATGAAGTTATGTCTACAGTATCAGTGAAAGAAGACAAAGAAGAAGAAAAAGATCTAAAAGATGTTGATAAAACAGCATTTCCACTATGTCTACCAAGTGTTGTTGATATTGATATTGAAGCAGCTCTTCCCCGTGAAGCCTGTTTGACAACACCTGTGTCAGCAACTACAGTAGCTCCTATGACAGGAACTATGACATCACCTTGGCCAGACACTACATGTAAGACAACTTCTATGACAGGAACTATGACATCACCTTGGCCAGACACTACATGTAAGACAACCTCTATGACAGAAAGTATGACAGCACCTGTGCCAGAAGTTATGCCAGCAGAAATGACCACCCCCGTCACAGCAACTTATCAGATAGAGAATGAGGTTACAGCTCAGAAATCAGTGGAAGGCACCCGTGATCTGGCTGATGAGTTCATAGAAAATTATGTGTTTTCCTCAAGTTCCACCAGTTCACTGAGTGCTATCATCACAGAGGAGTTGGATGCTGCTTACAGTAGAGACATTCAGAGCTGTGACATTTCTGCTTCAGTAGATGACAGTGTGGCTGATGTCCAAGACTCTGGTAAACAGTCAGCCAGCATTGTAAATGATTTACCAGAGGATAAATATGACACCACTGAGATCATTCCTACAAGTGCCCTTGACTCTTCACTTCAGGGCAATTTTTATGATGTAGCCATTCAAGTTGAAGAAGGTAATTTTTATTAATGTATTCTTTTATTTATTTTTATAGCTTGTTAATTTATTTATTTACAGATAAACACCTTTTTTGCACTTCAAAATATGCTTTTTAAAAAGTATATCAATTTGAATTTTCAGTTCATTTTAGTATTCTTGCTACAGTGTAAAATCTAGATATGGCATGTTAACTTTCATGTAGTTCCAGTGTCTTTATACAATTATTTTAAAATGTTCATTATATTTAAGATAATCCAGATGAGGATGAGTTGACAGAAGACCAGTCAGATGAAGAGTACAAACCTTTGAGTGACAAAGAACTGTTACATCTGGAAAGAATGGTGAAAGGAGAGTTCAAAAAGTCCTTTCCCCACTGGGTGAAATACATTGTATTCATCTTCTTGTTTTGCTCTATCATGCTGTCATTTTCCCTCACTGCCATTTATGGAATGTCACTGCCAGAAGACCATGTTAACCACTGGTTGATGCTTGTTGGATTGTCTTTACTAGAAGACTTCTTCATCTTTCAGCCCATCAAGTGTTTCTGTGTTCAGTTTTATTTTTTCTTGTTTCCAATGCACAAAAATAGGTTTCCAAATCCAGTGTAAACTGTAAATAAGGATTGACAGTGCAGTTTGGTTTGGAAAATATTTATGACATTTACAATACCAAAATTATCTTATTTTAATTGGTTGTCAGTCTTCAACATTTTAGTTTTCGCCTACAGACTAAGAATGGTCATAAACTTACAATCAATAGAATTATTAACATGTGAATGAAAGAGCACAATTTATCATTTTAATTTTCATTTATAAGCTTGCATCTGTAGCATTTATACTTTCTACCTCATTCAAATGATAAAATGCATGTCAAAATAGTGAAAATATATAAAAAAGAAATAAAATTAGTAAAATTTAAATATCAAGATTTATATACAGTACGCTACAGTGTACATTGTCACTTTGAAAACTCGTGAAATAAAATGTATTGTAAAATCCTATTTTTTTTATTCAGTACATATATTTAAAATCGGGACAAGACTTTCTCCATGATTTATACTGTAAATAAGCATCCCACCTAATGTACTTACAATTCGAGGTGCGATTGGAAAAAAATGTTAAAGTTCTGTCCTTTTAGAATGAGTTTTCAACATTACAAACATTCTTTAAAAAGGAAGTAAACAATTCATATTTATAGATTATGTATGCTTTTTATCCCTACAACATTCACCTTGCTGAAATTCAAATTCAAATACAAGTATCTTTATTTTTATAATGCGACTGTTGTCATTACACACCTCTGTTACCATGAGTTTTTTATTTACTGTGCAAACCGATTGCGCCCCCAAATAAAGTTGTCTCCCCAGTTTCATCTAAGTTGTCCCCCTCCACGATTACGAGCCCAAATTCATCTTTATTATTTCCTACTATTAAGAGGACCATTTCATCTTATTTGCCCCACCCCCTTTTTGAGCCCCAATTAATCTTAGTTTTCTACCCCCCCTCTCTCACACACACACACACACACACACACACACACACACACACACAAAGTGGCCACAAGGTGCCCTAAATACTCACCTGCGGCTGGACAATGCACTCGTGATATTTGACTTTCTGTTCGGTGACTCAAATTAATTGCATCTATAATAACATATTTGTTTTATGTCACTAAATGATTACGATCAGTTCTATTCATGGAGCCTGAGATGATGAGAAGTGGTGTGATTTTGATTTGGTAATCAGGGGATAGCGCGAACGCAGTCCCCCACAATAAAAAATTACGCACCCGAGTTACCCCTATTTGGGGTAATCGATCAGGTCAGCCAAACCGTATTGTGCAATGGTAAGGCCTCGCTAATGAAGAACCGCCTTAATGATCACGGTTAACTTCTGTGCCAGGTAAGTATGCTTGTTACTGACGTTTGACTGGNTGATTTTGATTTGGTAATCAGGGGATAGCGCGAACGCAGTCCCCCACAATAAAAAATTACGCACCCGAGTTACCCCTATTTGGGGTAATCGATCAGGTCAGCCAAACCGTATTGTGCAATGGTAAGGCCTCGCTAATGAAGAACCGCCTTAATGATCACGGTTAACTTCTGTGCCAGGTAAGTATGCTTGTTACTGACGTCTGACTGGTCTCTTCTACCATGCTGTCCGCTGTCATAGTGGGCAAAGTGAATTAAGTAGACTTCCAGCTACTCATATTTGTAAATAAATCAAAACGCCATATCACTACAAGTATTTCAGTACAAGGGTAAATAAATGCTGTTTAGAATTTTGATTTTATAACATAAAATGAGTTTCCATTTAATTTTTAAACTTATGCCTTGTTAGTTGCTATCTTCCGGCATTCAAGGCGTAATTATTTGCATTCAAATAGGACAAAAATAGTCACATTTACTTGGGGATGTAAAAGTTTGTGTGAAGTAAGTGTAATGATTACATTAGCTAGCAAATACAGTATTTAAAAAAATGTGTACATTTTCCCCATTGTACCCTGCAGTAGCATTTTTTTACAATAAAAAAGCACAGTGGTAATGGTTTACGTTCAACGGCTTTTTATTGGTGAAAAGTCTACAGTAACCGTAGACTTTTGGCCAATCAGAGTTTGGAGTCTACGACCACTGTACATAACCGGCCAATCGGCGTCAAATGGCGAGAGTGAGGAATATGCTTAATATATGCAGCTCCAAATGTAAAAGCCCTGCGATCGTATATCTGTCGTATCGTATATTCTGTGGACCCACTATCTGTATATCAAATCCTACCTCTTATCCCGAGCCTTGCAAAAAACAAAACTTTTGTAGCTGAGAAGTTTATTATCATTTTTTTATTTCAAAATTCAGTTTAAGAAGCAGTATCTATCGAAACCCCACACCATGGTTAAATTAAAAACACGTTTTTTTTATTTTCAAATTGTGATCCACAACCTCTTATATTAGCAAAAAATGACATCATATACAGAATTTAAAAATCATTGATCTACCTTCTCAAAGGAAATTTTCTGCCATCTGAAACTAATATTTTGTTAATTTGAGTAGGCACGTAGAGTGTAAGGCGGTCGTGTAGAATTGTCTACTGTATCTTCTATCACTGGATGGCCCCTCTTTTGTCATCCATATACAGGGGCGGATTTAGGCCGTCTTCTGGGTCTTCCGAAAGACGGTCAGATTTTCAAGTTTTCATTGACAGGTATCTGATTTTTTCTGTCGGAAGACGGTCAAAAATGGAGGATGGATCAACAAAGATAATTTGGAAGACTGTCAGAAAATATGTCTGGATCCGTCCCTGATATATCGTAATAAATAAATAAAGAAATTGCGTATGCTACATTGTCACATCTAAGATACTTGTTCATCCTCGTTCTCTTTAGTCCAAGGCATGGACAAAGTGACCACCAGGGGCCCTGATTACCCACCTGCGACTGGACAATACACTCGTAATATTTCACTTACGGTTCGGTGACTCATATTAACTACATCTATAGCAACATGTCCGCTCAATGTCACTAAAAGATTACGAACAGTTTTATTCATGGTGGCTCAGAGGATGAGGAGTGAATTGATTTTGATTTGGTAATCAGGGGATAGCGCGAACGCAGTCCCCCACGATAAAAAATTACGCACCCGAGTTACCCCTATTTGGGGTAATCGATCAGGTCAGCCAAACCGTATTGTGCAATGGTAAGGCCTCGCTAATGAAGAACCGCCTTAATGATCACGGTTAACTTCTGTGCCAGGTAAGTATGCTTGTTACTGACGTTTGACTGGTCTCTTCTACCATGCTGTCCGCTGCCATAGTGGGCAAAGCGAATTAAATAGATTTCAAGGTTACTTATGTTTGTAAATTCATCAAGACATCATATTACGACAAGTATTTTAGTTAAATGGTAATAGTACGTGATCTATGATTTCGATTTTATAACATGAAATAATTTTTTTATGCATTCATAATTTTTTTTTCATTTATTATCATTTATTAGTTGTTATCTTCCAGCATTCAAAGGCAAATGATGTGCACTCAACAAGGACGGAAAAAGTGATATCAACTTGGGAAAATCAAAGTTGGGGTGAAGTTAGTGTAATGCTTGCACTAGCTTATGCGGTATTTGAACGAAATGCGTACATTTTTCCCATTGTAGTAGCTCTTTTACAATAAGAACCACTTAAGGAAGTCATGGACGGGAAAAAGTCTAGGTGTAACGGCATTTCATTGGTTAAGCGTCTACAGTAACTGTAGACTTTTGGCCAGTCAGTGTTTGGAGTCTACGACTGTAGACAACCAGCCAATCGAGACGCAGCTGTGACATGGGCGAGAGTGAGGAATGAGCCCAACATTTGCGGATCCAAATGTAAATGCCCTGCGATCGTATATCTGTCATATCGTATATTCTGTGGACCCACTATCTGTATATCGAATCCTACCTCTTATCCCGAGCCTTGCAAAAAACAAAACTTTTGTAGCTAAGAAGTTTATTATTGTTTTTTATTTCAAAATTCAGTTTAAGAAGCAGTATCTATCGAAACCCCACACCATGTTTAAATTAAAAACACGTTTTTTTTATTTTCAAATTGTGATCCACAACCTCTTATATTAGCAAAAAATGACATCATATACAGAATTTAAAAATCATTGATCTACTTTCTCAAAGGAAATTTTCTGCCATCTGAAACTAATATTTTGTTAATTTGAGTAGGCACGTAGAGTGTAAGGCGGTCGTGTAGAATTGTCTACTGTATCTTCTATCACTGGATGGCCCCTCTTTTGTCATCCATATACAGGGGCGGATTTAGGCCGTCTTCTGGGTCTTCCGAAAGACGGTCAGATTTTCAAGTTTTCATTGACAGGTATCTGATTTTTTCTGTCGGAAGACGGTCAAAAATGGAGGATGGATCAACAAAGATAATTTGGAAGACTGTCAGAAAATATGTCTGGATCCGTCCCTGATATATCGTAATAAATAAATAAAGAAATTGCGTATGCTACATTGTCACATCTAAGATACTTGTTCATCCTCGTTCTCTTTAGTCCAAGGCATGGACAAAGTGACCACCAGGGGCCCTGATTACCCACCTGCGACTGGACAATACACTCGTAATATTTCACTTACGGTTCGGTGACTCATATTAACTGCATCTATAGCAATATGTCCGCTCAATGTCACTAAAAGAACAGTTTTATTCATGGTGACTCAGAGGATGAGGAGTGAATTGATTTTGATTTGGTAATCAGGGGATAGCGCGAACGCAGTCCCCCACGATAAAAAATTACGCACCCGAGTTACCCCTATTTGGGGTAATCGATCAGGTCAGCCAAACCGAATTGTGCAATGGTAAGGCCTCGCTAATGAAGAACCGCCTTAATGATCACGGTTAACTTCTGTGCCAGGTAAGTATGCTTATTGCTGACGTTTGACTGGTCTCTGCTACCATGCTGTCCGCTGCCATAGTGGGCAAAGCGAATTAAATAGATTTCAAGGTTACTTATGTTTGTAAATTCATCAAGACATCATATTACGACAAGTATTTTAGTTAAATGGTAATAGTACGTGATCTATGATTTCGATTTTATAACATGAAATAATTTTTTTATGCATTCATAATTTTTTTTTCATTTATTATCATTTATTAGTTGTTATCTTCCAGCATTCAAAGGCTAATGATGTGCACTCAACAAGGACGAAAAAAGTGATATCAACTTGGGAAAATCAAAGTTGGGGTGAAGTTAGTGTAATGATTGCATTAGTTTATGTGGTATTTGAACGAAATGCGTACATTTTCCCCATTGTAGTAGCTCTTTTACAATATAAAACCACTTATGGAAGTCATGCAAGGGAAAAAGTCTAGGTGTAACGGCATTTCATTGGTTAAGCGTCTACAGTAACTGTAGACTTTTGGCCAATCAGTGTTTGGAGTCTACGACCACTGTAGACAACCAGCCAATCGGAACGCATCGGTGACAAGGGCGAAAGTGAAGAATGAGCCCAACATTTTAGGCGGATCCAAATGTAAATGCCCTGCGATCGTATAAATGTCGTATCCTAGCTTGTGTAATCCTGCACATCAGAGACGTACATGTGGAGAATTTTAAGTATGCGATGCCCCTCCCCCCTGGTTCAACCAAAGCGGAGTGCAATGTTTCGTGTAGAATCACCTACTGTATCTTCGATCACTTAATGGTCTCTCTTTTGCCATCGTATTAAATAAATAGATTGCGTATGCTACATTGAAACACCTAAAAGACACGTGTTCATCCTCGTTTTCTTTAGTCCTTGACATGGACAAAGTGACCACAAGGTGCCCTAAATACTCACCTGCGGCTGTACAATGCACTCGTGATATTTGACTTTCTGTTCGGTGACTCAAATTAATTGCATCTATAATAACATATTTGTTTTATGTCACTAAATGATTACGATCAGTTCTATTCATGGAGCCTGAGATGATGAGAAGTGGTGTGATTTTGATTTGGTAATCAGGGGATAGCGCGAACGCAGTCCCCCACAATAAAAAATTACGCACCCGAGTTACCCCTATTTGGGGTAATCGATCAGGTCAGCCAAACCGTATTGTGCAATGGTAAGGCCTCGCTAATGAAGAACCGCCTTAATGATCACGGTTAACTTCTGTGCCAGGTAAGTATGCTTGTTA